GCTTGTGAGGTGGGCTAATGCCAACCTCATCAAGTTTAACCCAGCCAAGTGCGAAGTCCTACACCTGGGTCGGCACAACCCCAGGCACAGCTACAGGTTGGGCGGAGAAGAGATTCAAAGCAGCCCTGGGGAGGAGGACTTGGGCATGGTGGTTGATGAGAAGCTTGACATGAGCCGGCTTCAGTGTGCGCTTGAGCCCAGAAACCAACCATATCCTGGGCTGCATCAAAAGGAGCGTGACCAGCAGGTCAAAGGAGGTGATCCTGCCCCTCTACTCTGCTCTTGTGAGACCTCATTTGGAGTATTGTGTCCAGTTCTGGTGTCCTCAACATAAAAAGGACATGGAGCTGTTGGAGTAAGTCCAGAGGAGGGCCATGAGAATGATAAGGGGGCTGGAACACCTCCCTTATGAAGACAGGCTGAGAAAGCTGGGGCTGTTCAGCCTGGGTTCTTCATCAGGGACTGTAGCGACAGGACAAGGAGTAGTGGGTTCAAACTTAAACAGGGGAAGTTCAAGTTAGATATAAGGAAGAAGTTTTTTTTTACTGTAAGGGTGGCAAGGCACTGGAACAGGTTGCCTAAAGAAGTGGTAAATGCTCCAACCCTGGCGGTGTTCAAGGCCAGGTTGGACAGAGCCTTGGGTGACATTGTCTAGTGTTAGGTGTCCCTGCTCATGGCAGGGGGGGTGGAACTAGATGATCTTAAGGTCCTTTCCAACCCAAACCGTTCCATGATTCTATGATTACTGGTCTTTGACCACCTGGGCTAAGCTGAAATTGTAATGCCTCAACAGGGAACACACTCAAGCCATTCTGGTCATGTCAACTGTTGAAGGTTTACATAAGGATATGTGGGAGGAAAAGCATGAGATCCTGCTTAGTTCAGCTGAAGTTGGAGGGTCTGGAAGAGCTTTTCCAAGTGGTGTGCTGGGAGCAGAGGGGAAAAACAAGTACTGCCTGAAAAAAGGACTCTCACTCCAAAACAAGCCAGCTGGCTTGCACGTGAAAGTTTTTCCATTTCTAGGGATTATAGTATAACACACAGTTATACAGGGTTTTGTTACAGGAGGAGGGAGAAGAGCTGAAGGGTGCGATCATCACAGGGAGCCAAAATCAGAGGGTTGTGCACATCCTCCTTTTTTTATGGCACCTTCCAAGATATGCACAATTCTGATCTGCTATATCCTGTTGGATCAAGCTTTGACATTGGAACCATAATGTTGGAAGGGAAACGCAGAAGAATTAATGATAAGTCATAGTTTTAATGAAAAACAAAGAGATAGCTATCCAACAGGATTAAATGAAAATCAGACCTGAGATTGAAGACATTTTTTTTACATAAATTCTGGCCTGTTCAAGATATCATTATTTTCCCTCCTCATAGCCTGTTTGGAAGTAGCAACATGCTGAATTCATGTACTATTCGTAATAGTACATAGAAGCAGAAGTTTGTTTTGTTTTGTTTTCCTTTTTTCATTCCCAAACTAAATAAAGCAGGAAAATTGCCCCTGAATGTTTGAGTCTGGAATGATTGTTGCTATGGGACAGAGAAGGAAAAACACAAAACACTGCTCATTTAATGATATTCTATGCCTAGACAGTATATCCAATATACATCATGGTAAGAATGGTGGGTTTTCTAAAAGACAATTTGTCCATGAAATTTTGGTTTGTTCTAAGAGTACTGTATTAACCCTGGGGAAAAAAATAAAAATCTTCGTTTAAACTTTTGTCTTCAATTTTAGCTAAATTTCATATACATTAACTTCTCCAATTTTAGATCAATGTGAATTTTGTTTTTTTGGCATTGGTAGTGAGCTTCTGAATTCTGCTTTAAAAGTGCTGCAAACCAAACGTGCATTCTTCTTTCTAAAAGAAATTACAACATATAACATCAATGCTATGTAGGTCTTTAAAACACCAGTTTTGGATATTACAGAAGGTAGCTCATTACCTAATTATATAATATGAGCTGAGATTTTCCCAGAAAATTTTGGTCAGCCTCAGTTATCGAATGCATTACCCATGGAGAAGGTGGGTCTTCCATGTGAGCACGTCAGTTGTATGTGCCTTTTTATCACTGTCTCTCTCCCATTCTTGCTAAAGTCTTAGGGATCCACGTGCTCCTGCCTATCCAGCTGCTGCTGTGACTAACACAGAACAGCCATTGGCACATGAGCAGGATCACATCTTTATATGGTTTTTCCTAGATTATTGGCACAGTGAAAGCTTTCATTAAAAGAAGTGGGGCAGGGTCATTTACTTACCTTCCTAAAATCCATCTGGACTTTCTATTATAAAAGGACTCAGTAGTTTGAGTGCTAGCACTACACTGACAAGTTAGGTTTTTCTTGGAAATTTTTTTTTTGCTTGTTTTCAGAAAAAGGAATAAAATATCTCACGTTTCATTTTATTGCAGGATATCTCAACGTGCTCTCAAATAACCGCTGGCGTGAGCGCTGGTGCAGAGTGAAAGATAATAAACTCATTTTCCACAAGGACAGGACAGATCTGAAGACGCACATTGTTTCTATCCCCCTCCGTGGCTGCGAAGTCATCCTGGGACTGGATTCGAAGCATCCTCTGACCTTCCGCCTTCTCCGAAATGGGCAGGAGGTTGCTGTGCTCGAGGTGTGGTGATTGCTAATAGCTATGACTTGTAGGAACACTCACAAGCTGTATTAGAGAAGCACTTTCTTACAACTTGGCCATTCCAAAAAAAAGTAATCTTTGGAATAATATTATTGCAGAGCTGTATAATAAATACTGGAAGGAGAAGAGAGTTGTCAGCAAAGAGAGAACTGAAATTTAATGCAGTTCAGAAATCTTCTTAGTAAGATGCTTTTCTCCACACTGACCTTCCCTTGACCTGCTACTAAAATATCCCTGTTCCTTGTCTAGGCACACTTTTACGTCAGGGATATAATTACTTTGGGTAAATAACTTAGCAATAATTAAATAATGGGAACTCTAAAGCTATTAACTCTCATTTGTCTGCTACTTATGTGAACTCCTTTTGCTCAGTCTGTATCTGTATTAAGGTAATTCTGCAATAAGAAATACAGTGTGCCATCAACCTGGTGAGTCTTTTGACATATTGCATGTGTACATGCTAGCACACTCTTTGCAGTATGAAGGTCATACCTCCATCTGTTGAGTGGGTCAGGATTTTTTTGAGGGGCTTTACTCATCATATTTTTAAAGCTGAAATGAGAAGATGCTTAAAGCAAAGTATAATGAAGATATAGGAGGAGGCAACCTTTTGCTTTTAACGGCAGTATGGACACTTTGACCACGTTGGGTTTCTGACTGCAGGTCACATTAGTCTTCAGACCTTGCAACTAGGCCTGTTACATGAGAGCAGTTCAGAGAAGTTGAAAAAAATAGAAAGCAGTCTGAGGAACTGTGAAAGGCAATGAAATATTTAAAACAGGAAATTTAGAAACTGCCCAGTTTCCTCTCCAACCCCCATTTTTTCCCGTTATTAATCTTGCTAATGTTTAACTTTTGAATTGGTGACTTGAAGCAAAATATGAAAAATTAAAAATTATTTTAATAGTATTCTTGTCTTTACTCGTGCCATTGGGGAAATGAATTCTATCAGGTAGACAAATTTAGTGGAATTTTTCAAAACCAACATTAAAATCTCTTCCACTATTTTGTTCTCCCCCTTCCCTTGTTTCTACTTAGCACTAACGTTTTCTTCTCAGGAGTCAAGCAAACTAAAGTCCCTCAGACTAGGATAGGAAAATAATTCTGTTATAGCTTTCAATTTTCTCAAGCCTAAAATAAGCATGACTTAAGTATGAACCCTCTAGCCTTAAACAATTATATTTTCTTCTTTTTTGGAGATTGCCCACTTTGTTTTGCATCATAACTGACGAGCACATAGCTTACTTAATACGCACTCCTTCTAGCAAAGCAGATCTAATAAGAAATCCTGATGTTTTTAGGAGTTCAGCAGAGAAACCAGAGCCTCTTGTACAATATGGTAGCAATTTGTCAACAAAGAAAAGAAGAATGCGCCTCTTTGCAGTAATGCTCAGCTCAGTGGCAAAGTAAAGACCTGATCTACGTTCTTGCCCCCTCCTCACAGGCATCCTCCTCCGAAGACATGGGCAGATGGATAGGAATTTTGCTGGCGGAAACGGGGTCGTCGACAGACCCTGGAGCTCTGCACTATGACTACATTGACGTGGAAATGACTGCAAGCGTCATTCAGGCTGCCAAACAGACCTTCTGGTGAGAGGCATTTCCAGTACTCTAAGAATTTATATCTGCATGTTGACTCCGGTGCCAAACAGCTTATCAAAATCCACCTCCCCCTTTGCCAGATACTGAACTCCTGAAGTGTTTTAGCATCACATCATGTTAGATGTGTTTACGATTATAGTGTTGGCATCCTGCTAAGTTCTGTAAAAGATGCAGACACTCCAACTTTACTCACATCTTTACTCCTTTTTGCAGTAAGTCTCCTTATCAACTGCTACATTTTAATCTTTTACTTTGCGTGATGACTTAGAAGTATCACTGGAAGAGAACAAATATGCTGAAATATGCAGCTACATAGTTCATGTTTATCTATTGGCTGTATTTGCTGTACATATAGCCAACATATACAGCATATCCAGGCCAATATATGCTGTACACTAAAAATGTATAGCAAATTTAAGTTTTGGAATGCAACATTCTCGGTGTTTCCTTTTCAAGTTCTTTATGATTAATTAAAAACTTCATCAAGCTCACCCCAGTCCAATTAAATTCTGGGTTTTAATTTAGGACATGGAAATTGGGAAGATGTCTAGAGCACAGCATGGAAACTCTGTTTGAATTGCAAATCAGTGCTGTGAATTCCCCATTACTGATCTTGTGCTCAGAAAATTAATGCACACTTAGCATATGTAGTGATTTACATGTTCAAATCAGGTTAGGCATTAAAGCAGTCTTTGGTGGAAAAGACTGTCATTTTTCCTTGGCTAGATGAGGTTGTTTAGAAATGGGAGTGAAGGAACAGTTGGGATAGTTGGAATGCCCTCATGCAGATATTCCCCATGGTTTCCCATGGTCAGAAAGTGGGTGGCCTGAGACAACAGCTGGCAAAGGTGGCCCCCATCATCTTGCTGCAAAATGAGACCCCGAACACAAATTTGGAATTTGTGTGACTTAGTCCATTAGAGTGTCACATCCCATATGTGCTTTCCAAAAAGAAGATTCTCCTGCTGTTGGCAAGGTATTAAGAGAGCTTTGAGGAGGGAAAATGTGCAGCTTCATTCATTCAGGATCTGGTTTGAATGACTTCTGATAGAAATCAAAGTGACTCGGTGTTACCACAAACCCAGTTTTGTGAAAAACAGATAATTTCGATAGAATCAAAATGCACTGAGCTTACAGACTCATGTGAATATTTATTTTGAAATTAATAGGGCTCAAAAAAATTTATCCAGTGGTGACATGTATTTTTGCTTCAGTCAGCATCTAGCAATAACCACATTTAAGAAAGAAATAGAATGAAAACCTTTTCCCCCAGATACTGTGTGGCTTTCCTTTCCTGAACAAATGTGATGTTAATTGGAGCCAAGTGAAAAAACATATGCAACTAGACCACATGTTAGAAAGGAATGTCAAACAACTTGCAAAATAGCAGAATTCCCCTATTAAGAATTAGTTAAAATTCACTGGATGGCTTTAAAAGCCTGTAAGAGCTTGTTGATAAGCAACTGGAGTAGCTGCTGATTTTCAACTACTCCTCGAAAATGAGAAGAAATTACAAAGTGTTAGTAAAATACTAATGTTGCCCTTTATAGAAGGAATATCAGTATTCCGAACTAACTGAAGTTACTATTAAAGCTTTGATTATTATAAAGTCACTTTGGATTATTGGTTATTCGTTTCCTGAGACTGATACTTTGCAAAATGATCAGCTCTTCATTAATAGTGCCATCAATTTTCTTCGTCTAAATGGTTAGTTATCTAGGAAAGGCTGAACAAAAAATGCTTTCAAGCAGGTTTTTCACTATTTCCTTTCCCATCTAGCAGTTTCACAATGCCATTAACTTGCATGAATGCATCTGTAAACAGGATTAATGAGGCTTAGTGAAATAATGCTCATGAAGTGTTTGCAGATACTTAGATAAATACTAGTTTCGTTTGGTGGTGGAGTTAACTGCAGATGTATCAGATGTCATTAATGAATAGCCCAGTTTTCAGATCTAGATATTATGCATCACTCTCTCTTTAAGCTACTTAAACAGAAAGAATTACAATAACAACCCAAATGCATTCCTTCAGACTAACCAGAAACACTTGAGTAATGCTATTCATTAAGAGGAAGAGTAAACAAATGCAGCCCTTTAATAATATCTAATGAAGTGTGAAATACGATAATGTTAAAAACATTATTTAATCATGGAATTTATCTTGGGGTTTTGATTGTTTGTTTGAAGTAAGAAAAGCTTCTAATGGTCTAATGGTTATTCCACCTCTGCACTGCCCTGCAAGGCTCACACCAAACTGGGCAGGTTTGTTCCTCCTGTGAGCCTGGGTCTCCTGCAGCTCAGGTGAACCACAGTTGGATGAGGTCTGTCTCCCTCTGAATGAGTAATTCAATAGACTAGCCAACTGTTGAAACCACAGCATTCTTGAGCTCTGGCCAGCGCTACAGAAGACCCTCTCTGCTTTCGTAGTGCTTTATCATGTTTTATGAATGTCAGCACAGGGTCTGAATAGTTCCATTGTTTGGGATGGAAAGCTTTGTTTTCCCATTGTCGTACACCTGAAGCTATAGGAATTATTTGGAATCTTGCTCTATATCTCATTCGATTTCATCAGTTGCTACAAAGGAAAACTCACCCTTAGGGTTGTTATCGCTATTGGGCGTGATTCTGCCATTTTTCTGCATTGTTTGATCTTGGCAAGCCTGATGTAGTCCATGATATCTTGCATGTGTTCTGCAGAATTCCAGTAAAACAAGCTACAGTGTTGATTTTGGGGAGAGGGGAGGGAAAAGAAAATAAAATAAAAATTCCTTTTTGAAGTTTCCAGAGGACTCAGATACACTATGTGAAACAGCAAGAATGAGCGTATAGAGTATTTGCATGTGCAATTACCCAGACAGTGTTGGGAAGCATAGTGCTATTGTGCACATTCTACCCAGCCAAAAGTTTTGATATGGAAAAGAAAAATTCCCAGATTTTAAGGAAGTAATTATTCAGCAAGTTTTTATACGTATGTTAACTTAGATTTCATCAGAATTCCACTTTTTTTTTTTTTTCTGGATTTGATTCTTGTTTCAACTACTTCCTAAATTCGCATCTCCCTGAGCATGCACACACCCAGAAACACCTGCTTCTCCCTGATGCAGACAACAAGGGAACTTTTATGGGACACTGGCAAGTTGGTTTATAACAGAGATCAGCAGGTTCCCATGTAAACACGCCACTGAGCAGTTACAGCTGTTGCCCTCCTGGCTTTCACACAGTTGTATCCCCACTGTAAGAATGGAGTACAGAAACATATGTTGTAATACTGGCTGCTATCAGCAACATGTGAGTAGCAAAAGAGGGAAAACTGTCTCGCAGAAAGTGAGAAAATATGTTCTTCCAGGCTACATAATCAGATACAAGGAACATACCACTGAATCGTCATTTAGACTTAGGTTTAAGTGCTGGGTTTTATTGTATTTTCTTTTTTCTTTTTTCAGTTTCATGAACAGAAGAGTTATATCTACAAATCCGTATCGGGGAAGCACTGCCAATGGCTACGCCTGTCCGAGTGGAATGGCACTTCATTACGATGATGTTCCCTGCATAAATGGATCGGTAAGAATTGAATTTGCACAGAACAAATGGTTTGCATGTGTTAAATGCATGGACATCTGAAAATTATATTATCTAAAAAGCCTCACTGGGCAGTTTCCAAATGAACTCCTATTTTTTTGGTTTGGGGCTCCTAACTTCTCTTACACCTACAGAGTATGAGGGGTGTGGGACATATTGTGTACATTAACCTGCACATGAGCCAACGTGCATTTAGAAAGCAGTTGCCTGTTGACAATTTGTTGCCAAGTCCTTGAATACAATACTCAGTCGAGGGGGTATTTTTTAGATCACACTGGATGTGGCAAAGTGAAGGACTCAGTTACACAAGGCATATTTTGGTGTGTGTTGAACAAAACCCAAATATTTCTCAGTCCCTGGGCCTGCATTCCTCATGACAGCAGGTGCTGTCCACCCCAAAGGAGGACCACAGTGGTTACTTCCACCTTCATAAATTGCAGAGCTGATTGTAGGCAAATGTGTAATAGGTTTTAACCACATAGCAATATGTGGTCCTCAGGAAGATTTACAGGGAAGCTACAGCCTGTGTCAGCTCTTGATTTGGGCTGCTTCATAGAGGCCCCCACTAAGGCTCAACTGAAGAGAAATTCAGAGTTTCAAATTGTGAAGTGGACTGCAAGTTTAGACCTCTATCTTAGTAATGTCATAAAGATGACACAAAGCCCCTCTTGGGAACAACACACAGCCACGTGTGGTGAGTAGTTTGTATGTGTAGTTCTTTGATGTGTGGATGTGCTCATGCCTTTGTATGAGTAGTGTACTGCCACAGCCAGGATGGATTAAGGAAGGATAGTTGGCAACTGGGTTGGTTTCTTTTAAGATTAATTGAATGAATGACTGAGTTGAGCTTTCCATTTCTCTGAAAAGGAAAAAAATAAAAAAAGAAGGAATGGCCTGTAGCTATTTGAGCTGGTTAGCTCAGAATAATAATTCTCCAGCAAATCAAATGTAATGCTAGTGTACCAACAGCTGGTATTCACTAGAAAGACGTATAGCCTGAAGAAAGAGAAAAAAAAAAACCCAACAACAAAACCCTCTTGGCTTCTGCTAACTGTTAGGCCACATTACTTTTAACAACTCATGTACCAGATGTAATCCCACAGATTCATCTGTGTAGTCTGTGAGTATCCCCCTGTTAACAAAGTCGGCTCGTGCCTCCTCAGTGCTAGAGCTCATAACTGAAGGTGCAGCAAATGAATTATAGAATCATAGAATGCTTGGAAAGGACATTAAGATCATCTGGTTCCAACCCCCAGGCACAAAGGGTGATAGGATAGTACCAGTTTTTTCGTATTACGGAAAATGCACAGAACTGAGGCTATGAACTATGTAATGCAATGCTTCCTTTCCAGACTGTGTCCTCCCCTCCTTTCTAAGTAGTTTGACTCAAGTGTAAGCAATGAGCATATGCTTGCTAAACACCAAGGGCTTGCTAGGGTCAGAGGAATTACTAATGTTTTAATTTCACCTAGGAGGTTCTGCATGGTGTATTGTTTACTAACTGCCAAAGTGTATGTGTTGCAGTGGGAACCAGAAGATGGCTTTCCTTCTTCTCGTAGCAGGAACATTGGAGAAGAAATGCTTTATGATAATGCAGGCCTGTACGATAACTTGCCGTCTCCAAAAATCTTTGCACGCTATCCACCAGCTGACAGAAAACCCAATAGGTTATCTACTGACAAACTCTCCTCTAACCATTACAAATACCCTGTCTTATCCAATCTATCTTCTGCTCAGTCTGTCACTAATACCTCTGCTGTGGGGAGGGGATCTGGCTCACAGGTACTGTACTATTTAATACTTCACAAAGCTTTTTATTTTTTGGCTGTTCTGTTTATCTGGTTGTTATCTTAAGGGCCTTGGGCTGTTTTTGTCCCTTAGTGTTAGCACTGAAGCACTTGGGGTTTAGGCATGAGCCCACTGCAAATGTAACGTAGGTTTGCTACGTTGTAAAATCGATGTGGAAGTATTGCTGCCTGGGAAAAGCTTTTCCTCACAAGTTCTTGATGATTTACAGATTGTGGATAATAACAAAAAAATAGATGTGACCTTCCAAACCCAGCTTGAATGCATATCTATCCGCCTTCTGTTGCCTTAGGGAGTCATGACTTAAAAGAAAGGAAAAGTGAAGTATGACCTGGCTGTGACACCAAATTTGCCTCTAGAATTTTACTGATCTGTATGTTGTATATACTATGGTTATATATATAGTGAATATACATATGCATCATTACATATTTTATATATATATATGTGCTAAATGATATTGTATGTAGTGTGTATATACCATATTTAAATTACTGCCTGCTATTTTCTGCCTGCAAAAAAAACCTAAGTCTATGTCTATGCTGCTTTCTGAGGGCGGCCACAGAAAGTGTGACTGTTCCCAGGGTTCAGTTCATTGCAGGGGAGCCCTCTAAATGGAATCCCCTTTGGCATAAAATGTGCTGTTTCTAGTAATCTTGCGAGCTTGTCTGACCATTATGTGAGGGGTTTTTTAAGCAATTAGTAGGTGGAGATTGTGTAAGAGGAAATTGATGTGTTAACTCCTAACATTTAAAAATCTGTAATAATTATATTGTTTAAAGAAAAAAAAAATAAGAAATAATGTTGTATTTTTGTGTGGCAAACCCCATTGGGTTTTTCTGTATGAAACTAACTCTGACAAACCTATGTTTCAAGAATCTTTACTGTATAAAATTGTTTAAAGGTACAGCTTTTCTGCCTACCAATGGCTTTCTTAATACAGTAAATGTGTTTTAAATAACTTGGAGACTGTGATGCCACCAGTGATGGGGAGTTCATCCGCTTGTTTTCCTGTGATTGCTGGTGTGGCTCCTGCTGAGCAGGCAGCTTTCAGAGGCTACGTCTCTGAAGGAAGCGCCATCTCCAGCTCGATCAATGCACTCTGTTAAAGCTTTCTGAGCAGGTGTCTTTTTGTCAAGCTTTGCCCTTGGTGCAAGGGTGATTGTAATGCCGGTGGCACAGGAATAGCTGGAGCCCATTTGTACTTTTGTTTTCAAACAGTTTAAAGGCAAGAAGCCTCCTGCGACTGCTAATGGGATCACTGGTAAAGGGAGAACTTTAAATAGCCAGCCGAAGAAATCTGAATCAGTGTCATGTGTAAAGCGCACTGCATCCAGTAAGTATCTCTCCTCACTGCTGCCTCACTTGTGAGTGGGGTCATGAGGATACCCAAAATAGCTGTCGTCTTAGCAAACAAGATAAAGAAGCACTGTGGTGCTTCTGTGGTTGAGAGGCTGAGCAGAAGCTGCTCACCAAGACTTTGAATAGGAGATAGTGTGTGCATTGGTGAGTCATTACTACTCCAGCCATGCCTCAAGATAAAAGGCTGTCATATCAAGAATGATAAATACGAAATGTGGACCCATGGCTGCAAAGTCATGAGGGTAGCAAGAAAACAAAAAAAGGGCAATGATTCTTCATTTGGGGCAGAGAGTAATTCTGTATTGCCGTTGGATGAGGAGTTTTAGGAGCTGGGAGAGACATGAGGACATTATGTTGCTCAAAAGTGGACTTACTCCTATTACTTATGAAAAAGAAAACAGTATAACAAAATAACAAAGACAGACAACCACACAGCTCAAAAGCAGAGAGGAAATTACAGTTGATGAGCAGCATGTTCAGAAAGAGGGTTCTTCTGGGCAGGTTGATGGCTTCTAGGACGTTCCCAACAGGGATTGCTTTATGTAAAGTAACAAGACAAAAAAGAGCTATAACCATATTTTTTAAATATGGAGTCAAAAGCATGGCTTCTTCTATAGAAGGAATGAATGTGTTTTTTTAATCCTGTGATGAATTTTTAAGAATTCATGGATTTAATGGCAACAAGAGAAATTTGGGTTAGACTTTAGGAAAACAAGTATGTGTCTTTCTAACCATGCAGGTCAATTGGTACTGGAATAGCTGTGGGAGTAAAGGCATCCTGGTTACCAAAGACTGACTAAAGCTAGTTGTCAGGAATGGTTTAGTCCTTTAGTTTGCCTTCAGATATGCAGACAGACAAAGTGATCTGTTAGCTGACCTATTTTCTTTGAGTCTGCTACTGGAGCAAAGGTATAGAGAGGGCTGTGACATAAACTATACTACAAATACATGTGAGCCATGAAATGAAAACATTTATATGGCAAATGACAAAAAGAAGAAGAAAGCTCTCAAGTATCAAAAAAGTGAGAACATGTTTGTATTCTCTTATGTCAGGTGGGAAAAGACGTGTGCTTTAAGCACTTGAAGTAGGAATGGAAACCAGGCAAAAGGGCAAACGGGTGTTTTTTCCTGTGACCCCTTCCAATTAAAAATCAAGGGTTCAGAGCTAGAAAGGAGCCTCCTTTCCTTCCTGTGAACTACAGAGAAAGGCAAGGCCAGTTTTCAAAATCAATGTACTATAAAAGGTAGTTGGTATTTCTCATCTCACCCTTATAAAAGGGAAAAAAAACTATCTATCCTTATCATTTCTGTAGCTATGCTGCAGAATTCAGCAG